TGACCTCAGCCTTTTGGTTTATTGGTGTAAGGCATGATGACGTTTCCTCTAACCGTCCAGGGCTACTCAGAAGTCTCAATGGCATCTTACCTTTGTCTCACCCAGAAAGTTGGTCCCCAGCCCCCACCATACTTGTCAATACATTCACTAGGATGCTCCGTGTCAACTCTAACTGATTCTCACAATTAAAAAACCAAAACAAGAACCTGACTACTGGGTATTTTGCGATTCACAGATGAAACCCCCTTACGGGTTATGTTCCACTGTGGGCTGGTCTATGACTGCAGGCTCCCCCCTCCCCAGGACAACTGTACCGAGGAACTATGTAGTCCCATCAATATTAAAATTCCTCAGTAGCTTACCTCATCCCCTGTTCTGACTGTCAATATTAGACTATCTCCAGCTGCCTTCTTGCCCTTCAACGTAAGGTCACACCTCTATCCTGATGTTTCAGCTCCTAGCCCTGGATTTCCACCCATCCAGCAGACAGAGGTGAGGGGAAAGAAAAAAAAAAAAGCCTTTACCTTGTCCTACTCAGAAAATCCTCTTGCCAGACCCTCCTTTCCCACTTAATTCTTTGACCCTTTAAGGCAAATAGAAGCGCTATTGGATTAAAGCACACAAGCAGTTAAGGAATACTCCACCTGACTCCCAGCGGTTGAAGCCTGGGTCCTGGGACAGACTTCTATAAAAACCACTTTTAAAGGTACGCTAACTGGAGATTGAGTCTGATTCTGCTGCCCTCCTGTGGCTTCCCTGGACCTAACGGGCCAAGCTCACCCTTTGTCACCGGCTTCCTCTGCCAGCTGGTCAACCCAGACCCTTGGTGACCCATTCAGAGACAGGGCTTCAGTTAGACCGGGGTGCCATGTTAGCCTGGGCTGACTGTCACCCTTCAGCACATCACTGGTATGAAGGAAGGGCTCTCTCCCTCTTTCATGGGAAGGGCACATCTGAGAAAATGTGAGGGCATTTTAAAGACGACCTCCTAGTCCGTGAGATGGGTCTTTTTGAGCCTAGCCCCAGCATATAACCCTGGAGCTACAGGTGCATGCTGCCATTCCTGGCTGTTTCCATGGATGCTGGAGATCAGAACTCAGGTCCTCATGCTTACACAGAAAGCCATTTTCCTATAGGCTCAGAAATTATATATATATATATATAAATGTATATATATAAATGTATATATGTGTGTATGTGTGTGTACATATATATGTACGTACATATATATATATATATATATATATATATATATATATATATACACGTGTGTGTATGTGTGTATTTTTCAGGTTACTCATGCATTTACATTTAACAAAATTCTTCCAGCAAGAAATTTCACATGCCAGTCTTAATTAATTAATGAAAGTGCCAACATTAGTAACATTGGGGATTTGAAATCTGTATTAAGTTGAAACAATACTTTTATTTCTAGGAGTAGAAGCAGAGTTCTTTATACTTAATGGTATTTCCTACCAAATCAGTATTCTAAAAAACTGTTTTATTTTCAAAACCAAGTATTGGATTAGCACCAGTATTTCCTGAGCAGGCCTCCTCCACTACATATTCTGTGAACATCTCATTACATTTTTGTATTGAAACTGCCAGAAACTTATTTTTGTGGGGCACTAGGGAGTAACTTATTGTTCAAGCAGTGTGAGCACAGTAGCCGTGTAAATTTGCACTTAGACTCTCGGACTGAAGGAGCAGTTTCTACGTAAGACAATCACCAGGTGATGAAATGGTTCCCAGCACCCACATCCGGCAGCTCCCAGTAGCCTGTAACTCCAGCTCCAGGGGCATCGAATGACTCTGGTCCCCGAGGGCACCTGCACTCATGTGCACTCACCCCACCCCCCACATACGCATAATTAAAAAGTAATAAAACTAAATCTTTAAATTCTTGTTTCAAATTCATGCTCCAGAGTGAGTGTCCCAATCTTCCTGTCTTTGCCTCCTTGGTGCTGGGATTACAGGCCTCCATCCTCGTGCCTGACTGATGTGGTACTGGGAGGCAAGCCCAGGGCTTTAGGTATACCAGACGAAGACTCGAGCAAACGGCTACACCCCCGGGCTAGACTCAGCTGTTTCTATGGAATCAGTGGGTCTGGAAATGATCTTTGCAGTTTCATAGTGCTGCCTCACCAATTATGGTAGAAAGTATTAGTGGAGTCCACAAGGGCAGGTACATCCTTTGGTCTCTGGCAAAGGTGAACTGGGACAGGAAATGGAACAAACAACCACTGAAGTAGTTCCACTGGATTGTGTCACTTAAATTAGAATTACAAGTCCAAATAGGAAGTGCTCTGTAAACACGTGCTTGTCTTGGTAGATGAAACAGAATGGGAGTCACGGGGCATCTTCTTGACAAATGAAAATGAGCCTGTGTTTCTCTGGGGACTGATTCCCACTGGCTCTAACCCTCAGTTCTTGTATTGGGGCATATATAGTGAGATGGAAGACCCCAAGTGTGCAGGATATAGAATACTTCTAGAAAGTTCCCGTGTTACCGTTGTCAGGCCTTCTGCCCTCCACAGACCATTCCGGTGTCTCTCATTGTCAGCTAATATTTCTATTGTTATTGTCCTAGTTTGCATTTAGAACAATCATTGTGAGATCGACAGACATGTTTTTATCAGTTTGGCTTTTCTTTGGGATCCTTGGGGGTGAACTGGAGTTTCTGCAAAAACTAATAAGGGGGAGAGCAATTAAGAGGGACACCCAAGGTTGACTTCTGGTCTCAATGCACACTCATGTACATGTGCTCCCTCAAGCACACTTACACACACCCATTAGAACACACAAACACACACCACACACACACACACATGCAAACACACCATGTACACACACCATATACACTAGCAAACCAAAGTGTTATATTGCAACATATTAAGTTGTACTATTTGACCTTGTTTCTGCATTAGTAACAGAAGCCAGGATGCTGAAATATGTAAAACCTAGCATAAATGTCATTATTTAAATATGTTCAGTACAATAATTTAACATTGGAACATAAAATCTGTCATATTAACAATATAAAGCTATTTTATTAAATTCATGTATTAGTCTGATTAAAATAAGTGTTGAATAAAACTTGAAAATACAGTTCACTTCTGGTTTCAGATTTACTTATAGTAATATAGCATAATAAAATCCAAATAAATGATAGCTCCTTTAGAAGAGGCTTTACCTATTATTCCAATTTGAGAAATGCTGGTCCAGATTAGCATTGACCCATTCACCAGGACTCATTTTGTTCTGCTTAGCTAACCAATTCTCAAGTTGGTCCACAAAGAGAATCATGACAAGTTTGGTAATTACCTTAATGAAATCAGTGTATTTTTGTGCCTATGCTATTCCCATAGTCCGTTCCGTGGTGGTAAAATCACTGAGGAACAGTTGAGGGATTCACTTCACCCAACTGGGACTTGATGAAAGAAGCCACATTAGTTCCATGTGAACCACTCTGAGGCCTGCTGTTTGCCACAGAGAACGCAGACTTCAGACGCGGTCAAGGCATTGTGGCATTGTGTGACACTTGGGGACTATGAGGTACTTACCATACTTTAAACACAGAAGGACGGTGAAGGACTGGGGTGCACTCTCCATCTCTTCCTGTCTCCCTGTGCCAACAGTGTGATGAGCTCTCTGTTGTAGCCTAAGCTCCCTCTCCATCTCAGTCACCAAGCACTAGTAACACAGAGGTCCTACCTCCTAGGACACAGCCAGCCGTACCTTAAATTCCCAGGCTTGAGTATATGGCAAACCCGAACTTGGACCCCTGCCCCGCTCTGGATGACGATCATTGAAACTCCGCCTTTGATTTTGGCATTCTTGGAGGCCCTAGGTCCTCATCCATTAGTCCCTCACCCTACAACTGAGCTATCCAGTTGATCTTAATTCTGCCCAACTTCACTTCCAGCCTGCTCTTCCCTGTGGCTGCTCAGGGTCCTGGGAATAACAGAATCCTTTATATTTATTACCTCTGGTGTCTGTGGGGCTGTGAGGGCAAGAGCCTTGTTTCTTTGGTTCTCTTTGAGTATCTAGCCTGTTACCCCATAGACTACTGGCTTTTAAGAACTATGAATTCAACAAACGGAGAGGCTGTAATGTGTCCTGATTTATGAACCAGGGCACTGGAAGCAGTTTTGCCTGGGTGTAGATAGAGCACAAATGACTATTTTAAAAAGTTCAGTTTATTTCACTTACATGGTCCCCGGATCCCATTGTTTCTTTGAATCTGGCAGGGGGCGGCGGGGGTGGGGGTGGGGGTGGGGGTGCTTTCTTCACACTTTTCCAAGTCCAGAGTGGGAGCAGATGCCTCTTCCCAGGGTCTTTGAGACTCCTCAGAAGAGAAAGAGCCTGTTGTTCACATAGCACAGGCCCCTGCTTTACCTCCAGAATGGGAGGGAATTTTCCCCTTATAAGTCCAATGTGAGCAAAAGATAAGATTTAAAATGTGATTTCTGGGGAGACATTTGTGTTCAGAGTGTTGCTTGCTCTCGGGCCCTGCTTCAGTAGAAATATCTCTGAAATCACACCCGAGCAAAATACAGCCATGTTGTCTTTGCCTTTGCCTAGAAAATGTATCCACAAGAGCCCTCATTTTAATTTTAATTTTGTGTAAAGTTCCTAGGGCGAGAATCTGTGCTTATAATGTAACTGTCATATTTTTGTCATAAATTCCGATGATGTCCTAGGAAATCAGGTCTTTCTCACCTCAAAGAGCTTCTTCACTGGGCTGCAGAGAAGGTTCAGTGATAAACAGCTTTTGCTGATCTTCCAGAAGACCTGAGTTTGGATCCTAGTACCCACCTTGGGGGACCCTTAACTGCTTACAACTCCAGCACTAGGGGGTCCAATACCCTGTCTGACCTCCTTGGACAAACAGGTGGTACACATTCCCACACACATATACATAATAAAGTTGCTAAAAAAAAAGTAAAATCTTTTTAAAAAGAGTATATTTATTTTTTCTAAATGCTGCACTATAATTAAACAGGGATTATTTGAATATGGAATTATAAATATAATGATGTGTAAGTCTTAACTACAAGCTCATCTGAAGATAAAAAGCGATTTCAAATAGTCAGTGCCCATCATGTGTCACTACGGCATGTTATTATTTTTTCAAGGCTGGAGCAGAACCCCTGTGCCTCCTCAACAAGCTTTCAAACCTGTTTCCCTCCCCCTTGCGACTGATTTAACTGCTACAATGACTAGACCGTGATGGAAACATGCCTTCAAGCCAAAGTCCTTAGAGTTTCAAGTGAGTCTTGCTCTGGGGACATTTGCTGGAGAGTGCAAGGACACCACGATAAGCCGGTGCCACATGGAGACAGGCTGCACAGACGCTCAGGTGGGCTGCAGCGGTAGAGGTGTCCCCGGGCTGACAGTTAGCACAGCGTCAGGAGCAGGTGAATGACTAAGCTCCCAGGTGGTTCCAGATCTGGATCGCAAGCCTCCACAGCCACAGCTAAAGGCAAATATGACAGAAAGGAGCAATTCCTATGATGCCCTGCCTAAAGTGAATCCTTGTTAGCAAAGTTAATACCATTGTTAATTGAGGCCACTTACCCTTGGGGGTGCTGGTCATGTAACAAAAGAGAATGGGAATCGCCAAACGCTGTTCTCGGTCCTCATTGTCACTGAGCGGTGAGAACTATTAACTTCTCCTGCCAATAAGCAATCAGACACTGTGCTGAGCCCTAGAGATATGCAGGTGAACATGACAGATGAAGCTCCTCTCTTCACTAAGCTTACAGGGCACAATGATTGCCATGATCCAATGGGGACACCATTGACCTTCATTGTATGCATGAGCATGAGGGACCGTGCTTTTCCTAGACATTGGCTTAACCTTCTCCAGCAGGAATAAATCAACTCATCTGTTTTTCTTGGCTTCAGATGCAGGGTATGTATACAAGACAATTGATCATGCTCGTGCATTAAAATTTTGGGACTGAGTCTGTTTTTTAAGTTTGTTGGGATGTAATAGGCAAATAGAAATTACGTGTGTTTAAGGTGCGCACACCAGGGTTTTGCTGAACATATACATTGTGAAATAACTACCACAGTCAAACTAGTAAATATGCTTATCAATAGTTATATGTGTGTGTGTGTGTGTGTGTGTGTGTGTGTGTGTGTGTGTGTGTGTGTGTACAACACTTAAAGTCTACCCCCTTGGCAAATTTCAAATCCAGATGGCCCCTATTTTATGATAGTTCAACTTAGGATTTTTTTCAACTTTACAGTGGTGTAGAAATAGTATACAAAGGAGAAACAATGATTTTAATTTAGATATTTTAGGGAACTGGTAATACAAGTTTTGATATTTCCTGGTGATACCTGGCAATAGTAGTGAGCCACAGCCTCAATCATGTGCATGACCATGAGAGTGAAGAACTAATGCTCACCAGGATACACTGTCACTGTAGTTTTTAAGAATATAGACATTCACCTAACTACACAAGGCTGTCTACACTGTATTATAAAACATATTTGTGTTAGATGATTTTGTTCAACAATCCAGCTGTCATGGATATGTCCTTAGCAGGCTAGGTTAAGTTTTCAGGGTCAGTATATGTATTAGTCAGAGTTCTCTAGAATCACAAAACTTATAGAATAAATCTCTCTCTCTCTCTCTCTCTCTCTCTCTCTATATATATATATATATATATATATATATATATATATATATATATATATATATATATACACACACACACACACACATTCATATACATATATATGAATGAATTTGTTGGAATGACTTACAGGCTGCAGTCCAACAATGGCTAGCTGTGAATGGAAAGTCCAAGAATCCAGTAATTGCTCAGTCCCACAAGGCTGGATGTCCCACCTGGTCTTCTGTATATGCTGGAATCCTGAAGAAGTAGGTTCCAATGCCCATGAAGGATGGATGTACTGCCAAGCAAGGGCAAGCAGGTGAAGAATGAACCCCCTTTCTTGTCCTTCCAGCAGAAGGTGTGACCCAGATTAGAGGTGTGCCTTCCTGCCTCAAGATTCAGATTAAAGGCTTGTGTCATTCACCTCAAGATATAGATCAAAGGCTTGTTGTCTTACTGTCTCAAGATCTGGATCACAAGTGTGCCCTCCATTTCTGAATTGTAGTCCATTCAAGATATAGGCAAATTGACAACCAAGAATATATTGGTTGTATATAAGTATATAAGTTGTATATAAGGTGTATTACACCCATTTTCAACTTACATTGGGTTTCTTAGGGTGTAATCTCAGTGTATGATGGGGAGCATCAGCATATAGTACAGCATTGATAACCACAGCCACGGCACTGGACATTAAGATCACCAGAGCTCATCCCTCCTCAAACCCCATGCTTTTTGAGCTACATCTCTCCCTTCCTCCACCATCACCCAACACCTTCCAACCACCATCCTGTTCTCTACTTCTGTAAGATCAACTGGTTTAGATTCTACATGTCAGTTAGATCATGCAGCATTTGCAGCCTTAGAACCAGTTCACAATCCCAGCGCCGGTATACAAGTCCTGCTTGCCCATCGCCTCTCCAACACTTACCATTAGCTTTTTTATTATGACTATTCTAACAAGCACAAGTTAACACCCTGGTTTGGGCTTGCATTTCCCCACTGATGAGTGATGTTGAACCCCTGCTGGCCACATCTTCTTTAGAGAAATGTCTATTTACAACCTTAGCTTAAAATCAGATTGTCGCTTTATTCTCTAGTGTCCTTACATACTCCTTTTGGATATACGATTTACAAATAGCCCTTCCTATTCCACGGGTTTCTTTTCACTCTATTTATTATTTGCTATATAGAAACTTAAGTTATATGTAACCCTACTTACCTACTTTTTCTAAGAAACCATTGTCAAGACCTTTTTCCCAGAAGCTATCTTCCAGTTTTATAGTATTAGGCCTTACGTTTAAGTCAGGTTGTAAAGTTATTTTGGACTGATTTTTATATACGGCATGCCAAGGCTCAACTTAATTCTCCCAAATTTATCCAGGTGGACTTCCAGTTTGCCAGCACCATTTACTGGGGAAGAGACTGTGTTTCCTGTTTTACACTCTTAGTACCCTTTGGAAAACCCATCCAGCTTAAGCGTGTAGATTTAATTCGGAGCCTTCTGCTGTGGACTGCTGGTTTCCCTCTTTCCCTCGACCCTGCTACCTTGCTGTTTTGATCAGCGAAGGACTGTGATATATTTAGAAATCGATAAGCCTCCGGGTTATTGTTCTTCTTGTTCAAGACTGCATTTGTTATTCAGGGTCCTTTGTGAGTCTATATGACTTTGTTTCTGTAGTTTGGAAACATTTGGTGGGGTGGGAAATAGGCTCTTTGTGTATTTGGTATAATTCACCTGTGAGCTCTCTTGACCTGAGTGGGCTGCTCATCCACTATCATGTTTTTATTGCTAGGTTTCTATTTCTTCTTGATTCTGTTTTTGACAAAGTGTTAGTTTCTATGAATTTGTTAATTTCTTTTGAACTATCCAATATGGTGCCTGTATTATTCATCACTTTCCTTGAGGCATCTATTGCAATGTCTCCTCTTGAGTTTCTAGGTTTTTCTGTTTGAAACTTTTCTCCCCTTTCCTGGTTAGGCTGGATAAGGATTTGTTGCTCTCTCTTTTACAAAACACTGTCTCTTAGTTTTACTGATCTTGTCTATTCTTTACTTCATTTCTCCCTTAGCCTTTATTATTTCCTGCCTTCTGCTCACAAGGGGTAGGTTTATTCTTCTTTCTGTAGGTCTTTGGAGGTGCAAATTTAGATTGCTTCTTGGGATATAATCTATCCTGAGAAAGATTCATGTGCACAGGGCAAGGATGTGTATTTTCTCATTGGGATGAAAGTCTTGTCTGTGTCTCTTTGGGCCACTTGGTTTTTAAGGTTCTGTTTTGTTTTCTTATTTGCTGTCTGGATGTCATGTTCACTCTAGAGTGTGGGGACTGAAGACTTCTGCAATTATTTCGCTGCTGCCCACTTCTCCCTTTATAACAATCAACCCAATTTATAGTTACAGTATTTGTTGTGAGGTCATGTATATTTATGATTCTTATAAATTATTGTTGAATTTGCCTTTTAAATCATTGAATAATAACTTACTTTGTCTCTTGTGACTGAAAGTTTATTTTGACCAGGGTATATCTGCCCTTGATCTCTTTGTGTTTCCATTTACGTGGAATATTACTCTCTATTAGTTAGTGTCCTTAAATCTAAGGTACGTCTCTTATGAAGAATATATGCTTAGGGCAGTCAGTCTCTATCATTTGATTGGAGTTTTATTTCATTAACATTTAATGTAGTGTTGACAGGTTAGGACCCAAGTTTGCTTTTTTGTTGTTTTCTAGCTGTTTTCTAGTTATTTTCATTTCTACTTTGCCTACCCTTTTTCTGTTGTTTGATGATTTTTTTTTGTGGTGTTATCCTTGAATTTTTTTCCTTCAGTATATCTGCTGTACATTCTGTTCTGCGGTTATCATGAATTCCACATCAGACATTTTATTATAGTCAGCTGTTTTAAGCTGATAACAGCTTCAATTACTCTACCATTTACTCTGTCCACCAGACACACTTTCTGTAATTGATGTCAGAGCTTATTTTCTTCTGTATTGCTTCCCTGAACATGTGTGGTTATAGTTTTCCTAACAACCTTTTTTTTTTTTTTCAGATTTGCACAGAAGTGTTAATGGTGGTTTACACGTCACCAGTATCATGGTGAAATAGTCTTTCTATTTACCATTAGCAGTGGACTGTCAGCTTTTGTGCCATTAGTTAGCACCTTTTCACATCAACTCGAAGAATCCCCCTCGGCACTTATTGTGAGTGGAGATAGTATGCTTCTGTTTTTGTTTACCAGGAGACATACTATCTCCTTCATCCTACAGGGCAGTTTTGCTGTTGGGTCACACATGGTGGGACTATTGGAAAAGGTGTGTGTGGGAACAGAATCCCAGGCAGGCAGAGGTTCCTCCAGGCCCATGTGGAGCAGTAAAGGAGCTGAGTAATAGGGAAGGGTTAGAGTCTGCTGTTGGGTCTATGGTGTAGCTCAACTTGATGGGCCTAATACTGGAAATGGACAGGTTTAGATAATCCCATAATCCCTCAGAAGGCATGTCTGCCCCTAGATGGCATCAGAGAGAAAGACTGAAGCCAGATCCCAGTTGGCTTTGGGATATGAAATCTGGTTTAAGGTCATTGAGCCTGTGAGAAGGAGAAAGAAGAGGCAGAATCCCTTTCGTGTCCCTTGCTAGGTGGGGCTGGTGGCAGAGCAGTGGTTGAGTAGGGATAGACCACAGGGAACAGGCTTGCTCTGATGCATGTCTGGGACCACGGTGAGCAGGCCTTCCAGGAGGACCAGGCCTGCTTTCTCTGTTTTTTCTTGTCCTAGAGTTTTGCATCATCTGACTAGTTCCTAAATCTCACTAAGGAAGACTTTTCTGTACAGACAACTACCAAACTGTTGTTGTCTATAGGGAACATGGGGTGGCAGGGGACACAGGACCTCTTATTTTGCCATTTTCCTGGTATCACTCCAAGACTGAGTCTTAAATTATGGATTTTTCTTTCTTGTTTTGCTTGGTCCCTTAAAAATACCTTTTGTGAGCTTCCTTATAAGTCATACATACTTACTGAAAGGAAGTTATCAATACATTCAAAAAGTAAAATTACCTAAAATGCCAGTATATAGAGATCAGCTTTGTTAAACACTTCAGGAAATGGCTTCTGAGAGTTTTCTACATCTATGTATGTGTACAACCTTTTTAAAGAAAAAAATTGTGTAATCATACTGTGCTGTATTTACTCTCTTCATAGAGAGCCTCTTTAAGTAATGACTGGAAATGAGATAAAATATTTTATTACATTTGTTTATTTATTCATGTGTGTGCACATACAGGTTACATTTGTCTATTCATGTGTGTGCACACATAGGTTACATTTGTTTAATTATTCATGTGTGTGCACATACAGGTTACATTTGTTTAATTATTCATGTGTGTGCACACACAGGTTACATTTGGTTATTTATTCATGTGTGTGCACACACAGGTTACATTTGCACATATGTACATGCTGCTGTGTGCAGGTGGAAGTCAGAAGACAGTTTGTGGGAATTGGTTCTCTCTTTTCACTGTGTGAGTTCCAAGGATTGAACTCAGGTCCTCAGCCTTGGCGGCAAGCACCTTTAACCACTGAGCTATCTTACCAGCCCAAATACTTTTATACGTTGTACTTTTGTTTAGGCAAAATGCATTCAAGCAGTGGTTCTCAACCGATGGGTTGTGACTCACTTGGGGTCGAACGACCCTTTCGCAGGGGTTGCATATCAGATGTCCTGCATATCAGATATTTACATTACAATTCATAGCAGTATAAAAATTACAGTTATGAAGTAGCAATGAAATAATTTTATGGTTGGAGGCCATAACAACATGAGGAACTGTATTAAAGGGTCACAGCATTAGGAACGTTGAGAACCACTGCTCTGCAGTATTGCTGAGGGGACACTAGACTAAACTTTGCATGCATGTTTGTAAAGATGCATGTGTGCAGGTGAGAATCCATGCAGATACTCCTGCATGTGGAGACCAGATGTCAAATGCACATGTTGTTCTTCAGAACTGGTCCACTTTGTTGTTGTTTTAAATATAAATGCCACTTTATTTATATGCTTTTCCATGAACCATTTTCTTGAGAATTTCATACATGAACATGTTGGGTTTTTTTTTTCATAATTTTCATCCCTTTCCTGCCTCCAACTCCTTCCACGTTATCTTGCTACATCCTCCCCTAGATTCACGTGCGTGCGCGCGCGCGCGCGCGCTGCGCGCGCGCGCACACACACACACACACACGAGTCCAGCTAGTGTTGTTCATATGTACATGGGCTTAGGCTAAGAGCTGACCACTTAGGTTTGGGTGACCT